AAATTGGTGAGCCAGGTCAAACGGACAAATTAACATTTGTGTCACTCACTCATCAAATCGATTCCGGGTTAAAGCGCCAGTATAAAGAATGCGAAATTGTCGATGCTGTGATTCGCGCTATTTCCTTGCACAGCAGCTTACGTAGTTACGTCGAAACACTGAATGATTTGTCCCTCTCCAAACTAAGAAAGATCCTTCGGGTGCATTATCGACAGAAATTTGCATCTGAACTGTACCAACAGCTGGCTACGATCTTTCAACATCCGAAAGAGACAGCACAGCAGTTCCTTCTTCACGCACTCGACTTACGTAACAAAGTAGGGTTCGCAAGCAAAGAATCAGACTGCGAAGTCCACTACGATGAACCCCTAATCCAAAATACTTTTATGAAATCCTTCGAGACCGGTCTTCGAAACGATATTCTCGCAGCGAATTTGCGACCCATTCTTCGATCATCCCCGTTGACAGATGAAGACTTAATGAGACACGTCAACGAGTTGGCATCCCACCAAGCGGAAAGACAAAACAAGCTTGCATTCGAAAGGAGGCTTGCCAAAATTAACTCATGCGAAGTTGATGACTCGAAGAAATCTATTGACAGCAACCAACATATTCTGGCAGAAATTCGGGAAATGAGGACGGAAATGGAAAATATGAAACGACAACAAGCCACTCGAAGCGATTATGTACCGAACGACAATCGAAACGAGTCGTACAACGATCGGGGACCACCGAAAATCACGCGGTTCCGTGGACGAGGATGTCAAGCTTGCAAAACACGTAAACTTGGAGCCACCTGCAGACACTGTTTTGCATGTGGAGAGTTGGGACACATCGCTTCAGAGTGTGAGAAGAATATATCTCGACAGAATCAGGGAAACGGAAGACGGCTACCCCAAACGTGGGACAGGGATTAGCCGAAAAAAAGAAAGTGTCCCATCAGTGCAACGGCTGCAATCAAGTTTTGGAACAGACGTTTTGGCGTTGTAAATGTTGTAAGCTTGTAAACTACTGTGGTACGAAGTGCCAACGAAATCATTGGCCACAGCATAGAACATTGTGCAACGCAATTAATCAGCAAATCCAAAATAGGAAACAGACGACAAAAGACGCGAATTCGGGTATTTTCGTCAGCCATTTGACACCAAAACAACACCAAAAGGTAGTTAGCCTGGTAGGCAGGAGATGTTCAATCAAAGCGAAGCTTAACGGGAAAAGAGCAGAGATTCTGTGGGACACCGGTGCCCAAGTCTCTATCGTGTCGGCCAGCTTCATAAAGAGGAACTTTCCTAACGTTTTGGTTAGAGATATTAGTGAATTACTGGATGGCGACCTTACCGTGACTGCAGCCAATGGTAGTAGCATACCGTACAAAGGATGGGTTGAACTGGATCTCCAAATTGGCGATTCTGAGCAAGGACTTTCTGTTCCGTTTCTAGTAGCAAGTGAAGAAATGGAACTTCCATTGATTGGTTTCAATGCAATAGAACACTTGATCAAAGTTAATAATCTGCGAGGTAACGAGATGGCAACTGCTTTAGTTGGCGTAAATGCTTGTGATGCGATGGCTCTTGTTGATTTCGTGAACGGAGTAAACAACGATGAATTATGCCTTGTAAAAACCAGCAAAAAAGATGTGGTCATACCTCAGGGAAAATCTCTTAAAGTGAGCTGCAGAGTGAATACTGGTCCCCTAGGTAAACCCACACCAGTTTTGTTCGAAGCTGATGAGAACGGTCAGTGGCCGTCTGGTCTCCACGTTTCGGACACATTATTGACAGCAATGGCAGGGAAATCTAGTCGAGTGGAAGTACAAGTGAAGAATACGACCAAGCATGGCATAGTATTACGGAACAGAACGGTGCTAGGGCGCCTACAACTTATTGAATCAGTCACTCCAGTCGAGGTGAAACTAAAGACAGATAACGATGAAAAGTCGCCTTCAAAATTAAATGAAGAAGCCAAAATCCCTAACAACAATGATGACCACCAAACAGCGAACTAGCCAAAACATTTGGACGATGTCGATTTGGGAGATTTGAACAGCCAGGAAAGAAAAGCGGCGATGCAGCTGCTTATCGAAGAGGCTGATGCGTTTGCCATAGATGACGATGATGTCGGGTGCATCACAGAGCTTCAAATGGATATCAAAGTCAACGATAGCACACCTGTTCAGAAGAACTATGTCGCTGTGCCCCGACCCCATATCCAGAGGTGAAAGCATATATCGAAGATTTGTTGAATAAAAACTTTATTCGCAGATCGACTTCATCTTATAGCTCGCCTGTGGTTTGTGTACGAAAGAAGGATCAGAGCCTACGCCTGTGTGTCGATTACCGTGAGTTGAACAAGAAAAGCCAAGTAGATCGTCACCCAATACCGAGAATCCTGGAAACCCTAGACAATCTCGGTGGGAGCTCGTGGTTTTCGGTTCTTGATCAGGGTAAAGCATACCATCAAGGGTTTCTTAAAGTCGAAAGCCAACCTCTTACTGCCTTTATCACGCCATGGGGACTGTATGAGTGGATTCGGATCCCATTTGGGCTATGTAATGCACCAGCCTCCTTCCAACGTTTCATGGAAACATGTTTGGGGGATCTACGAGATGACATATGTGTACCATACCTAGATGATATGATCGTGTTCAGTAAATCTTTTGACGAACACATTGAACATCTTCGGAAAGTGCTTCAACGCCTTAAAGCACACGATGTCAAGCTAAAACCGAAGAAATGTACCATATTTAAACGCGAGGTTGTATTTCTCGGAAGAATCGTGTCAGAAGAAGGATACAAGTTGGACCCATCTACGGTTGCTCCAATTCTTCGCATGAAAGAACCCAAAGACTGTAAACGAAGTCCGTAAACTAATGGGGTTCCTAAACTATTATTGTCGGTATATTGAGAACTTTTCAAGAATCGCCAAACCAATTTACGACCTTGTCAAGCTAGTCGACCACGATAAAAATGATGCTAACCCCAAGCGGAAATATCGCAATCAGCCACCCCCAAACCAACAAATCTCTTGGACGCCAACCCATCAATCGGCCTTGGAAAGGCTCATTCAATGTCTTGTGAACGTTCCAGTAATGGCTTACCCTGAACCAAATAATTCCTTCGTGTTGCACACCGACGCATCCGAAAGCGGTTTGGGCGCTGTACTGTACCAACAACAGAATGAGGTTCTACGTGTCATCGCTTACGGTTCCCGCACGTTGACGACAGCTGAGAAAAACTACCATCTTCATTCCGGAAAGTTAGAATTTCTCGCGCTAAAGTGGGCAATTTGCGAACAGTTCAGAGACTATCTTTACTATGCGCCAAGTTTTGTTGTGTTCACTGATAACAACCCATTGACATATGTCTTGTCTACGGCCAAATTAAACGCAACAGGACTTAGATGGGTAGGAGAGTTAGCAGATTTCAACTTCACCATTCGTTATCGACCTGGGAAAGCAAACGCTGATGCCGACACATTATTGCGAGTGCCAAAAGATATGGACAACTACATGAAACTATGTACTGAAGAAACGACACAAGACGAGTTACGGACAATAATCCAAACAGTGAATCTCCAAGAGCAGGGAAAGGTGAACTGGGTGTTTTCGCTGATCCAACTATCCTAAATGTCGACGCATCAAGAACCCCAAAGAGCAACAGATCAACATTGGAAGTTGATGACATAAGACAAGCTCAAATCGAAGATAGTATTATTGGTAAAGTGTACTCCTTTATCAAAGCAGACAAGCGACCTACAACAAGTGAGCGAGCCCGTGAATCAACCGACAGACACTCGCTTCTCCACGAATGGCAGAGCCTGTCAATTTGTTCAGACGGAGTGTTAAGGCGAAAGAAAGGAACACACGACCAAATAGTCCTACCCAGAAAGTACCACGCAATGATACTAAGAGAACTCCACAACAACATGGGTCATCTTGGGTCTGATCGTATTCTACATCTAGCCAGAGATCGGTTCTACTGGCCTCGTATGCAACGGGACGTTGAACATTACGTAAAGAACGTGTGTCGCTGTGTGAAACAAAAACCACTAAAAATACGAGCTCCACTGCAACCGATTATAACTACTTCGCCATTCGAGTTGGTGTCAATCGATTTTGTTCATCTGGAGAGGTCGAGTGGTGGGTTTGAGTACATCTTTGTGATCGTTGATCACTTTACACGATACGCGCAAGCTTACCCGACTCGAAACAAAGCTGGAAAAACCGTTGCAGAGAAGCTTTACAACGATTTCGTGTTACGTTTTGGGTTTCCCGCCAAATTCCATCACGACCAGGGTGGGGAATTCGAGAATCAACTCCTCGGTAGGCTGGAACAACTTTGTGGCGTAAAGCATTCCCGGACGACCCCTTACCACCCGCAGGGTAACGGCCAAGTGGAAAGATTTAATAGGACGCTGTTAGACATGCTCAGAACACTCCCTGAAAATCAAAAGTAATGCTGGAAAGACCATGTTAACAAGGTTGTACATGCGTACAACTGTACACGGAACGACACAACCGGGTATTCACCATTCTTTCTCCTCTTTGGGCGACAACCCCGACTACAAATCGACCTTCTGCTCGATCCCAACCTAGTAACCACCAGCAAGACCTATCCCCAGTACGTGTCAGAGTGGAAAAACGCCATGCATGAGGCATATCAGCTGGCTGGACGAACGGCAAAAAAGAAAGGTGATAAAGCGAAGAAACACTACGATCGTTGGGTACGGAGTTCGGTACTACAGCCCGGCGATAGAGTATTGGTACGGAACTTGAGTGAACGAGGCGGTCCTGGAAAGTTGAGATCATACTGGGAAAAGGACATCCACGTTGTTGTGCGAAGAAAGAGTGCAGAAAGTCCAGTCTACGAGGTCAAACCTGAAGGTACTCCGAAGAAAAGGCGGACGTTGCATAGAAATCTTCTCCTTCCGTGTGATTTCTTGCCAATGGACAGCCAAACAACCGATGGAGCTCCATCACCACGACCTAGTAACAGACGACAAGCGGAACACGCTAATCCGAATACAAACAGTAGTGAGTTGTCTAGTGATGACGAAGACCCACAGGAAGCCATAGTGAACGTCCATCCCAGAAATACACACCCTAACGTTTCGGTCGAGAACGCAGTCGAGAACGAGAACGCAGTCGAGAACGAGAACGTAGTAGAAAACGAGAACGTAGTAGAAAACGAGAACGCAGTCGAGAACGAGAACGCAGTCGAGAACAAGAACGCAGTCCAGAACGAGAATGGGAACGCAGTTGCAAACGAGAACGTAGTCGAGAACCAGAATGACAACGCAGGCGAGGCGGAGAACGCGGTCCACACCGAGGGTGTCTCAGAATTACCAGCACAGATTGAACAACCAGGAGCAAGAAGATCAAGGCACCCACCTGACCGCTTGACATATTACGGACTTGGCCAAGCTGACCCAGCAAATGTATTCTACATGACAGCAACAACTCCATCACCTCCGTTTACGTGGCCACCACCCTTGATGTTTCCAGAGAATACACCCTTTCCCTTTGTCCACCCATTACCTATGCACAAGGGTGGGTTGACTACAAAATTTTTGTAGTTCGCTATAACTACAGCTACTTCAAAAATATGTAGTCAGCTACAACTACTGCTACTTTTGAACAAAGGTAGTTCGCTACTGACTACAGCTACTGCTTAAAAAATGTAGCGAACTATTTCGCTATTTCGCTACTCTATATTTTTTAGTTTTAAGGTATTTGGAGCATCCACTAGCTCAGGCTGTAATATAACCTATAATAAACAAATCGACATACGAGTAGCAACAGTAAACAAAAGGGTCAAAGCAACATTTTTATATGCACTACAGTGTTCAGGAGTGCCACTTTTCATTGCGCTAAAATAGTCTTTACTGTACAAAATACTCTTTTAAGCAAACTATGTCCTAATATCATTCTATTCTATGAACGGTTGTTAACAATTTTAAAAAGTAGCGAATAGCGATTCGCTCTTTGGAAAGTAGTCAACTACTTGGCTACTTTTAGGCAAAATGTAGTTCGCTATAACCACAACTACTATTTTAAAAAAGTAGTCAAAAACTACTGGCTACTTGAAAATTGTAGTTCACTACAGTAGCTAACTACAACTACTTCGCTACTACCCACCCTTGCCTATGCATTGGCCCCCTTTCGTGAACCCATACCCATTCCCCCACCCCAACACACCCTTTCCATCAGCCAGCCACTATTTCTATGGACAGCCGGCGATGCCGTATCAAGCAAACTGGGATTTCAATTATTAAATAAATTAGATAACATTTACTATTTTTTATATAGAGAAAAAACGCTCCGAACTTTACAATATTATTTAGGATGCACAGTATCCAGAAGCTATCAGGCGAGATAAGTAGACGTTTATACCATGGTGATACAAGCTGCAGCGTATTATTTTGGTTACCAATTAAGTAGAAATAGGATCCGGTAAAACGTTTTGTAGTGCTGTGATAGATTCATGAGAAACGCATGTTTCTGAACTAACAAATTACCACATGGTACGGTAATGAAAGGATAAGCATATTGAAAAACCCCAAGTGTCACGGGACGACACTTATTTCAAGAGGGGGAATATGTTAGGCTGTATTATTAAGCTGTAAAGGTTATGTACAATTAGTTAGGTTGTGACGTAGGTTGACAACTGACAAAATGACAAGTCGGGATATCGTATATCATACACATGGATTTGTAGTCTGAAGTCAGATATAGAAAAGTAAAAAGTGTATAACCACTATTATATCACACTTGCGTCGGTTTTCTTTGATCGTCCGAGGTTTATAACTAGCTTATAGACCTTGAATAAATGATTGGATTAAACTTGTAGAGAAAACGCGAGAATTTTTCATTAAAAATTTTTGAAAATGACAAAATATGTTGGAAAACCTCCGCAAGTGTGATATAAGTTAGTGATAGACCGAGTAAGTCGGTTTATAACTCTTACTTGGATTTTAAAGTAATAATAATAAAGATTCTGAGCACAACGTGATATATATAATTTACAAGGACCTGTAGCACGGAGGCTAACACCTACCTATACCGCTGTTTGTGGTATCGCTGGTATCGAATACCGAGTACTCGGTATCGCCCATCACTATCATTCATCATAATACTCAATGCCGTCCGGCCTTGAGATTTCCGACGATATTATAAAGAACTCCGCGAGTATTTGGAGTAGAAATACGAAAATACCACCATACCGCTTGAAAGATACTATATACTCGAACAATGTAAAATAGCCATAATGTATAAACTAGCCATGCATACTCGAACAATGTACACAAGCCATATATGCAATACACTCAAACAATGTAAACAATGCATGTACGACAATGTGTCACTATAAAGTCATAGCTTTCGCCGAATAACTTCGGCCCCTTTCAACTTATCTTTTTCGTAATAGCCTTGTTCGAATCACAATCCAAGACACTATTTAGAGTGTTATTTTCAAGTTTGTAGGTTATCTACAGATTTGCATCTTTTATTTCAGTATTTTCGAATATCTAAATTTTACGCGAGAGCTTCAACCGGAAATACAGCTTGAAATATTGAAAAATGCGATCGCAAATCGATTCTAAAGGTCAAATCACCCCTTCGTGTACCGAGTAACAACCCGATATTCTGAAAAATTCAAAATAAATATTTCTAGTCCGCCGTATTCAAGCGAAACTTTCTACACGAAAGCGTTTGAATACAAAGAGTATTTCACTCCTATTGACTTATTCTGAAGAGTTTAGAAGGTATTCAACTTTTTCTCGATAGGAAATACAGATCGAATATACGACAGCATTTGACCCACCGTTCGAAAGGTTATTTTATGAAGATTTCTACGGTCAGTGGTTTTCGTTTTAAATGACGGGTAAATACTTGCCGAGATATTCTAATCTTCCCCACTCGAAAGTCGGAAATGTAAATGTAAACCGGACGGCATTATTGACATTCTTTGTTTTTATCAGTAGACGCCACGTACGCTACAGCGTACCTATTTTTTGAGTTGTTTTCAGACGAGTGTATACCAAGCCGGGCAAGTAGAAAATTCTACTACCTACCGTCTGAGCTACCGTCTGAGCTACAAGATCAAGCTGAGAACGACTTGTTAAGTTATGATGTTAGTCGTATTTCGGAGGTTAGTCCTTCAATGCGTATAAAGCCAGCTATTAAGCCTGATTTCCACTAGGCGGAATTTTGCGCGCGCAGCGGAAATTTTCTTTGTCTTTTCTAATTAGTCCAACACCGCGGAAAAACGTCTGCGCATGCACCAAATTATGAAAATATGGCGGGGAATTTGAATATCAATTTCTAAAACAAAAACATGCTTATTAATTGGTCAAAAATTAGTAAAACAAACGAGAAAATATAGCAAATGGATAGACTAGACATTAATTGAAAGCGTCCTGGCATTTAATGTATGGAATGAAATAGAATTCATGTAAAAAATTGTTGATTTTAACGGACACGACTTCGAAAATTTTTGCAAAATTATTCAAAACAAAAATTCAAACTCAAAAGTTAAGAAAACTCTCGAAAAGTTAAGCTTCTTAACCCACTCAAATTGTAGAATAAATCCTAAAGTTTAATTATTGTGAACACGCAAATTTTTTTATATTTGGCGACACAGTTTTTTTTTAAAGAAATGTATCTCAAACGAAAATTCGGAAATTGTCATTGCTTAGTTGATAAACAAAATGTTTCAGACGATAAATTTGTCAACAATCACCTTTAGTTCATGTTCTTGTACAATACAATTTCTTGAACCTTCTGGCTGTATTTATTTCTAGTTTTTAGAATGACATGTTTATTTTTGCGCTTGAAATCTGGCTGTAAAGACGCACAATGAAGTCACTCCTTTTTTACCGCCATTTTGAGCCTTCGGAAACGTTCGGAACAGCTTCTCATCAAGTTCGCAATACCATTACAGGTAAGATTGACGCATGCGCAGACGTTTTTCCGCGGTGTTAATTAGTCCCACCTGAGAAATCACAAGACAAAGAAAAATTCCGCTCCGCGCGTAAAATTCCGCCTAGTGGAAATCAGGCTTTAGTCTGGCAATGTTGTATGTGAATGTTGTGGTTTCCCACGTTTACGATTCCACTCGTGTAACGTTACTTAGCGTTTTTTTTAGTTGTTTTCAGACGAGTCTATACCAAGCCGGGCAAGTAGAAAATTCTACTTGACCGCGGCTGGGATTCGAACCCGCGACCTTCGCATTTCTAGAACGATGCTCTACCGTCTGAGCTACAAGGTCAAGCAAGGTCGTTATCAGCTTGATCACTCGATCGTCTGAAAACAACTAAAAAAAAAACCCGCGCTACACTAACGTTACACGAGTCACGAGTAGAATCGTCAACGTGGGAAACCACAACATTCACATACAACATTGCCAGACTAATAGCTGGCTTTACGCATTGAAGGACTAAGGGAGTGGTCATTATTTATGTGGAGGTGGGGTTGGGAAATGGGGAAAATAAGGATTGAAAACTTTTTTGACCCCCCCTCCAGACTGAAGGCAAACTTTTTGTGCTAGTAGAAAAGTAGAAACTTTTCTGACACCCCCCCCC